TATCTGGGGAGCTGGAAGATGAGAACTGGCGACTTTGTAGTACAACTTTAGTACGCGGAGCAAGCTGTGGAGCTGGAAGCTGAGAACTGACGATTGAGTACGCGGAGTATCTGGGGAGCTGGAAGAGGAGCTGGAAGCTGAGAACTGACGACTTTGTAGTACAACTTTAGTACGCGGATGAGTCATCTCTCGCGGCTGAGTCATCTCTCGCGGCTGCTCTGGCGCCCCTGCAGCTGAGTCATGTCTCCCGACCACCCGGCTCTCTTGAGAGATGGACAAATTTTAGATACTTTGCTTACTCAAAAGTGGCTGCCACAAAAGAGTCATCGTGACGTTAGTATGTGTGTACTTCACCTTCATGACAAACGATGTTCGCTTGGAATACACGAGTCGCTTGTCATGATCGTGACGTCGTTTACTCTCAGGTCGCCCTGTTCGTGGAAACTTCAGTGTGAAATGTACGGTCTTCAGTTCTAGTTGAACCTCTTCAGCGTTGTACTTGCGCGACTAAGGTTGACGTTGCATTGCCGTTGCATCGACGCATCTACGTCTACACCCCCTCACCTATTTACATCTTCACACGCTCACATCCGCAGATCTACCTCTCCACCTCACCACACCCACACATCTGCACATCTATATCACATCTGTACATCCACACTGTCGCTCCTTCACATCTGTCCTGTCTTTCTTTCTTTCTACATATCTTTTCTCTCGTCTCTGTGCATTTACATCTTCGTACGCTCACATCCACAGATCTACCTCTCCACCTCCATACGTCTACAGATCTATATCGCACCTGCGCATCACACTGTCACTCCTTCACATCCACCCTCTCTTTCTCTCTTTCTATACATCTTTTCGACTGTGCTGGACAATTACATGTCTCGCTCTCGGGAAAACCGTCGTCTAGTTTAATGTCTTTTTGATTCATTTCTGTTTTTTTCTTGATCCCCTGAAATATTTTTTGTTTTTTTATTGATCCCTCGCCCATGTTTGCTTTAGAAGAACTGGAGAAGAATACAGGTGCTTCTCAAAGGGGTATCCGATGGTATTTGTTATATTTTGTTATTAGCTATTCTGATCCTATACTGGATTGCATGGTCTCCAAGTAGACAAGTTTGCGGTTTCCGATCCTTTTCTTTCCGCGGGGTAGCTATAGAATCTATTCTTGTTTGGAGATCCTGCATCTGCAACCAGGGGGTCTCATTTGGAGGATTTGTGGTTAGGACTCCTGATCACCAGACTTGTAAGCTGTCCGGGCTCCCCATTCAGTGAACGCACAGCACATAGTACGATGTTTTTATAAAAACCCGTACGACATCACCCATTTGAATGATCTACTGTACTTTCTCTCGGCTAGAAAATACTCAGAATTATCCTGGGCGTCCACCTCACTTCATGACTCGTGCGGTCTGATGAGCAACGGCATTCCACACTGATCCGTGCATGAGCTATTGCCAGGTTTCATCTCGAAGATGGAGCAACCACAATCATGTCTCAGACCGAGGGCCCGTGGGCCACCACTTGGCTGGACAAGTATAGCACCGGACAAAAGCGGAGATAATAGCTGTTTTTGCGAGCTGACCAAAAAGCAAAGGTTATTCTGGCATCAAAGCTGTTGCTATCTAAAATAAACCATGAGGAAGTTGGTCCACTGGCGTTTTCTATGTTGGGTTCCAGCGGAGGATGACGCGAAAGGAGGAACTAACTATTCCAGACTTCCAATGAAGATGGTTGGTGACTTTTTTGTTTCTTTGCAGGTCTCCAAAGAAAACGACTGGAGTCAAGTTGTTGTCACTGTTGCCTGGCGCAAGGGTCATGCTCCAGCCAACTGGAACCCTCAAACCAAGCCCCACACTCTTCAGCCCTCCCACAGCTGGACGGCATGAGGCTGAAATTCCTTCCGCCGAAGTTGGCCAGCGAGACGTTGATGGAATCTCGTTTGCGCTTGCTTTCGGAATCTTTCGGATGAAGGGTGAATCTCATTACTTTATACGACATGTTGGTCACTCAAAGACCTGGGCTTTAGAACTTTAATTAGGCTGGACTGCTAAGAGGGTTGTTGGCGCTGCTTAGAATTCGTGCCCTAGTATCAAAGACAACCTCTTGGATGACTCCAGGAACACAAGCAGAACAAGACAAAGCTGAACGCGCATCCCATCACCGACTTGGCTTTGCTCGCCACCCAGGAACTGGTCGACCAGGTGGTTCCAGGATGGTACGATCTCTTTACTATCCACGCTCCAGCGCCTTAGTCTGCCAGAGTTTTATCATGAGGCACTTCGTCGGGCAGAGTTGGGACAGTTGAGAGCAATGACCAGTGTCCAAGAGGCTAAAAGCCAAAGGTCGACGGGTTGATGGTTCCGTTTTCTTGTTGGAGTCTTTTCGGGTTGCGTGGACACCGCCCCCCTTTGGTCATTATAACCACGAGTCTAGGGCTAGCGCCGTTCATGTCCAGAACCTCTGACCTCAACAGCAAGCAGGACAGGATGATTTGCTACCTTCCCCAACCCCTTTTGGATTCCACCTGGTCCATTCTCTTCTCCAATTCCACTGGCGTCACTGTGGCTGAGGGCGCCGGCGAAAACGCAACATCGACATGTGCTTTATCAACTTCGTCGATCATCCGAGCGAAGTTCTCGCCGGTGAACACTTGGCCAAGGCGCAGCAGTCATCTTGATTTCGGGCCTGCCCACCTAGGATTTTGGCATGATTTGGGTCAACGGAAGGATTTAGCATGTGTTCATTGAAGCATTGTACCCTTGTAACTACGGGCCATTTTGGTTTAGCCACCCGTTTCTCAGGGCTCGGGTCTTCCAGACAGGCACAGTCCAAGAACTGGCTCTTGAGGGAAGTGAGAGGAAATCTGATGTTTTCTTTGTATCAGGGGACTGAACTCATTTTCTCAACTTTTTGTGGATTGTTGACTGGTGTTTCCACACTCTGACACTCTTGCCCTGCGTTGGGCAAAACCAAGAAGTGTAATACCATGTAATACCGTGATAAGTTCTGTATCCCTGAAGGACTGTTCGTGTTTGTTTGTTCAATGATCGAGGTGTTTTTTTGGGAGGCATCCTCCCAAGTTGCCTGTCATATACGTCTTCCCCACCACCTGCGCTTGGTTAGATGCATGTTGTGCACCGTTGTGCTGGAGGAGTTGGAAAGCTCTTGGGTGGCCGTACGGCAAGCAGGAGTCCAAGGATTCCTGCCAAACATAGCTTACTGTACTACGTCACCAAGAGCCTTGGCAGTTAAGACCGTGCAGGTTGGGTTGCGAGGATGCCAAAAGCACCACCCCAAGCAGGACCTTCAAAGTGTCGGCTGAGCGACCCCATTCTGGCATCTCAAAAGGTCACTCGAAACGTCTTGGAAGAAGGAGGTTGTAGGAGGTTGTAGGTAGGAGGTCTTATGCTGTTCATGTGGGGTGTGTTCACCACGGGGAGTTGCGAATGGATGTGAAGGAAATAGTGGATGGGGGCGCGAACATTAGTATTCCGCCATGTCCATGAATACTGCAAAGGTCTCAGTGACAATGCTTCCCTGCTGAAAGAACCACATATATTTTGTGAGCTTTCTAAACAGATTGAGTCAGTTTCCAAATGTTCATCATGAGCATGCAGCTCTTTTCGGAGGGCCGGAGAGTCTGACCAAGAGGCTCTCCCTGGATCTCCCTTTGTGTGAGTTGTTGTCGGCCACAAGACACCATGTTCCCTCGCACGTGTTCAATTGGTTTCTGTTGAACATATTACGTTTCCTCCACCAAGTCGAACTGTTGAAATAACACAGGGAGAACTACCAAAGCTGATGTCACGAGAGCTGCTCGCCCCAGTGTCACTCCTCATCTCACGTGGTCCTGGGCCTCTCAGGAGCGGTTGCGATGCCTTATTTCAATCGGTTGCTCCGCAAATCTTTGACTCTGGAGAGCAATTGTGCATCGCAGAAGCGTTCGATTCCGAATTGGTCTCAGAGGCCGGAGGGAAGTCTATATGTCACATGTCAGATGGCAATCTGTGATGCTTGGGGGCGTTTCAAACGGAGAGGGGGGCACAGTACTTTCAGGGCAGTTCCTCCTTTTTGAACTCTTTTTCTATCGATTTGGGTCAACTATCGACTCCGATGTTGGGGATGTCACGACTCCACTAGACTCTAGACTCTAGACATGACGCAAGCAGTCAATCAATTCTTAGAATCCAATATTGTGCTCGCAGTTGCAGCCGATGATGATTCCACCCAGTAGTCCAAGCTTCGACACTGTGGAAATACAGGTAATCAGAGTGTGGAATGGAGACCATTCTTGGCAAGATTTGTTTTCTGGACTGTTTTTGTCACCTTGCCAGCAGGGGGAGTGAGCTCACCTGGACTTTCCGGGCTGAAATCCTACCCAAGGCTTTGGGATCTCATGACCCCACGGGATGGTGTTTGGGAGCACATCGACAACCTCCCTTCCCAAGAGATCATGTGCCACAGCCACTTGGAAGAGAAGTAATGGCACTGGTTTTGGGTGGCACGTGGGCATCTCCCTGCTAGCTCAATGCAGGGAGGAAGCTGTCATGTTATTGAAAGAGGACATTTCAAGCTCTTCGCTCCCCTGTCGCCTCATCCCTCCTGATGGTCCCCCGAAGTGCCTGGTTTGACCGCTGACGACGCAACTCGAACACGTGGCGGAGAACACGTGTTTGCGACGCCAGGGGAAGATTCAGGCTGCGGCGGCGCGTGAGGAGCCCATGAAGTCATGTGGATCTTGAAAGCCAAGTCACCGCCGCTTGGCAACGGGAGCCGGGACGGGGAGCAGGCGGAGGGCTACGCTACGAGGAGGAGAGAAGAGGGAAAGAGAGAGAGAGAGAGAGAGAGAGGGAGGGAGGGAGGGAGGGAGGAAGAGAGAAGAGAGTAGATCCCTTGGCTCAGTAGATCCCTTCCGTAGGTTTGAGCCGCAAGGGCGAACTAAATTGCCTTTTGCCACGATGGACCTGTCTCAAAATTGCATGGGCTCCCCCAAGCCAGGAAGTGAACTGATCTAGTTTTTTCTCGAAACAAGTGTGGGCAAAACGGCCCCAAACTTGGACCTTCCTTTTTGCATTGAAGTAGTCGAACTCTCGACTGCCAGGTCTGGGGGTTGCTGCTTCACGAGATCACGAGGGCTTCACCTTTGCAAGGCGTGCAGAAGAACACTGCGCCCAAAAGGTAACGGTTATGAGTGGGCAAGTCTTGGATTCAGGAGAGGTGGAGCTGGAGTCCCATGTTTTTTGTTTGTTCTTTTTGGGTTTAGCTGTCATTTTACGATACCAACAGGGCACACACCCAAAGAGGTTCATTGTCCAAAACATGTCCAAAAGGTCCAGAGTTTTGGACACACCTCTGTGGGAGTTCCAGGCACCTCCACCACCCCTGGTGTGACAAGCACTCACTGACAAGCACCGTTGGACATGTGTTTATTCTTTTTGCACCCCCTACTTGGTGATGGAGGGAGCGTCGTCCCGGCCACGCCCCCTGTGTTCCAAGCTCTCCAGGCTGAGCTTATCAGAGACCTGAACGCCTGAACGAAGGCGAGTTTGATGGTGAGAGATGTTGGAAGCCTGATGTCTGGGCGGGTTCAAGGTGGAGGGCAGTGGCGAAGCAACACCAATCCCAAAGACCGATTCGTGGCATTCATGGCTGCTTGGGAGTTCTGACGCATTTCTGCAGATGTTTAGCCTTAAGTGGGGGAGTTTTTCTCCGCGCAGAGGTGCCGGTGGGTGTCAGCTGACCACTGCCGAGTAGGGCTTGGTCGTTCCATCGAATGCGGTTGGGTTGAAGATCCGTTCCCACCTGACTGGCTCTGCTGCAGAGCCGCTGCAGGAGCTTTTCGGCCATGAACAGCTGGAGCGCGTCCACCACGTCCACCTTACACAGCCTCTGGGCTCCGAGCAGGGCAGAGGCGACGCACCTGGGAGCTGCTGGGACGTCAGAATATGTCAAATAGATCTCCCCCAAAAGTCGCATGAGGATTCATGAGTTGCAATCAGTTTGGTTCCTGAAACCAAGTAAAACTTCTTCAACCTTGGAGTTCTTTCTTGTAGCTCTGGCTCTGCCAATCCCCTTGTCCCCGCTCTGGTCGTTTGTGGCGGCATGAGCACGACAGGATCCAGCACGCCGAGCCCAGCACCGCTGATGCGAAGGAGAACACTTTGGTTGACGCGAGTGGATGCGTATCGCGATCCGTGACGATCCTGGTTTCGTTGTTTTACTTAAGTACTCTTGAAGGTGATGGCTGTTTGGTGTCAATCCGTCTTTCGAATTCACTGGCACCCGGAATGTCGATTTACACTTTCCCATCTTTTCACCGTTTATGCTGCCGGATGGCTACGATTGTAGCTTCGATTGAACAATGGGGTTCAACATGGACACAAAAGTATTGAATTCCAGTGGCTACGTTCTGTTTCGTATTATTTCATTGAGGGTCCCGTCCTATTGAGAGATGAGATTCTACGTTGACAGAATAATATATTATCTATATATGTCTACCATGCAATTTCATTCCAGGCTGCCAAAGGAAGACGGAACATTAGACACATATAAAGAACATATTTTTGAAACCCGATCTTGGCATGTTCAATTTTGGCAGGAATCCTCGATGTCATGGCAGACCATCCTCGATGATCAAATGTCGCTCTTCGTGTCACCCTCTTCGACCAAAAGCCCAAAGACGAGCTATGTCGATGGAGTTAGCGAGTTCGAGTGACAAAACAAGGGCGATTTCCCACCTGCTGGACCCATTGGAGACTTGTTCTCGGTCTTTTGTGGATTTGGTCTAGTAGAGTCTCAGTCTTTTGAATTAGTAGCCGCAGCACAGCTCCAACAAGGAAGGCCTCAGCAGCTTTGACACGCTGCTTTTTTTCCCACAGCCTGGGTCTCTACTTAGCCTGATTTGGCTTGAGAAGTCCTTTGATCTTTTTGGGTTTGAAGGTTGAAGTTCTTTCATGTTGCGTTCCTACATCCGAACCCGATGCCTGCCGCAGCATCAGCAGCTCTTCTCAAGTTGCAGTTGCAGCAACACCCAGGGCCAAGGCACACCCACAGACACCTGTACATCACTTAGACTTACACTTCTATGCCATTCACGACGTGATAAGCACCAAACATCTACCGCCTCTTTAAGCCAAGCAGGTGATATATATATATACATACAGACTGCAGGACTCTGATGCAAGTATGTGCAACAACAGAACGATGGACCAGATGAATCTTCCACAAAACGTGACAACCCTCTACTGTAGTTTAGAAGAGTAGTAGGTGCATAAAACCATGTACTGTGTGCACAACACGTCAAATCTTAGGTTGCAGCCCGATTTGATTGATGCCTCAGTCCGATGAAGACGACTCTTTGTTTCCACGTTTAGGGAGGGAAGACAGAGAGATTACATGTTCAACGGTTTTGATTTGAGGGTATTGGAGGACAACACGGCTGCTTGGAAAATCAGCAAATTCAAAGAATCAATGACCAGCATGTGAAATTTCGAGAATCAATGTACATCCGAATCCACTGATCCACATCCACCTGTCCTGCCAGTGTAAGAATCCAAAAGCCATACTATCTTATACAGTTACAGTATACATTGACTTCCGGCTAGCAGGTGCCCCTTTGGGGGGGGGGAAGTCCCCCCATTTTTGGAGCCAATAGTCAGATTTTTATGCAATTTTATGCCAGAAAGAAAACCGGATCTCATCTCTGAATCAAAATCTTTCTCCACACCACTGCGCCACCCACCGCGCCATCCTCGCTCCGTGGAACCGATCTCTGCTTCCCATCACCTGTGGACCTCGGTGCACCGGAGCGGGTGGGGGGTGCGGCGGGTCCGGCGAGGTTGACGGCGAGGTGCTTTGTGACGGGTCCAATGGGGGGGATTCCAAGTATGGAAAGGGCCATGGATGTGGAGCCCTTTTCTTTCATCCAGATGTTTCGGACATCCGAGTCTGGCGATGGCGATGGCGATATTGAGACTTCGAATGGCCGGATGTGGTCCGGTGTTGCATGTTGCTTATTGTGTCAATCTTTGGTCGTCTTCAAGGTGGAGCTACATTTGTTCTGGTCGTTTGGGAGACAGTACGGCGTGGAGACAGTACATGTAGCGCTCGGATGTTCATATTTGTCCAGGACTGTGAACGAAAGAGTTAAGTTCACCGCGTTCGCCCGTGGGGTGAGACCTCATTGCGATCTTCGGCTGAACTTGAGGGTTCTACAAGTTTGGACAGAAAAGGCACCTGTGGATGCTGACAAGCACAAGAAACCTCCCCTTTCAAGGCAACCCCCAGCATTCCAGTTTCAAAAAGGGATGGTTCTGTCAAGACTTACAAGAACCATGCTATTAGGTCATCCCTCAGACCGCATCAGGTCACCCCACCTTTGCTTCAACATACTGAAGGCGGTTTCCCCACGCGGCGCGCTTCGCAGGGCCTGCGAGGCAATGAGCAGCGGCAGCTCGGCGCTGGAGTTCAGCTCAGTGGTGGCCACAGAGGCACCGAGGGACGATGATGAAAGGATTCCCCTTTTACGCAGATGCACTTGCTGAGTGGAACATGAGTGCACCCTTTTCTACTTCTGTTGGAAGGCTCATTTGTGCATGGATGTGCATGGGACCCTGTGGACATTCTTGCTTAAAGACATCTCAAGTCTCAAGCTCCAAGTTTGGAGGATGCGGCATTTGGGGGCCATCGCGGCTTGGCAGAACTTTGAGGCAGACTGGTGTGATCTTCCAGATGACAGCCGCTCGCGGCCACTGGGAACTTGCCACTCTTCAGCTGTAACTTCTCTTTCAACAGCAACAAAGAAACAGCAAAGCTTTGCTGCAACATGCTCCAAAACTCCAAAGGATGTTGACCTTTCTCAGTTCATTTAGTAAAGACATGCTGCTGACCTCAGACTCAGATAGCATCAGTCCACATCAGATGGCCGCCCCAGCTGGTCCTTTCTCCCACGCTGAGGAGACTCGACGCCCGGAGTCAGCACCGCAGCGGGAGGAACTCAGAGAGGCGCGCCGTTCCGCCCTCCGCCGCGAACGCGGTCACAGTCGGTGTAATGCGACTCTTCAGTGACTTGTTGAGGCGAGCTGCGAGCTCAGCAGTTTTGGGTGGTTTGGCGGCGTTTTGGAAGGGAGCTTCACTCCAACGCCTTGAGGAAAGCGGTCAAACTTGTGGAAAAACCCGACTCGTTTCTTCTCAAAGCTCCGTTTCTTGGGGCTCCTCGACGTTCCGGTCGTTGACCGTCCACCGGAACGGTGGTTTAAACGAGGCTTTTGAGGAATGAAAGCTTGAAGGGATCATCCAAAATGACTCAGGATGGATGAAATTCTATGAAATTGGGTGAAGCGCTTTGGAGACTTTTCTTCATGCGGAGGGTTTGGCCAGGAAGGCTGTTGTTTTGACTCGACATGTCGTTTGATGATGTTTGATGTGACTTTTGTATTGCGAGAGGCGCTGGAAGCAGTGTGGAAAGCATGACAGCTGCCTGGAAGCAAGACGCCAGAGGCTCTGAAGTTTTTAAGCACAGTTATACCAAAATGCTGCATGCTGTCAAAAAGAACGGAACTGTGCAGATGAACCTCGAAAAGGATTGTCAGCAAGAACCAGGGCTGATGCCAATGGGCTGAGTCATGCCAGACATTGACGAGAAAACATCCCAATACCGGCGGCCCGAACTCCAAACTCATCTCCCTTACCATAAACAGCGCCCCAAATCCCATACTAAAGAAAACTCCATACAACTCCGAAACAAGAGGAGGACACCGAGGACCCTCACCTCCTTCTTTGGACCTGACGATAAAAGCGTTGCCAAACCACGGTTTTTGGGCGTCGAGCCCAGCGGAGCCAAGGACTTGCGGCGCCAGGTCGAAGCGATCTTCACCTCGAAGCTGGGAGAGTCCGACTCTTTGGAGCGGCAGAGCTCCTGGGACCCTGGTGAAGTTGGGAGTGTCGGAGAGGAGGTGCTGATATAGAAGTGATATGTTTTTTTGGTTTGGTGTGTACGACTCATATATTCATATATTTAAGCATCTTGCTTTGGATGTCTTGGTCTTGGGAAACTTGGGATTCTGCATTTGTTGAAATCATTTGGTACGACTCTATAATTAACGTACATTAACGTACACATTGGGATTGCTTGGACAACTGCGGACTTTTTGGGTGGAGTTTGCGTCCTTTTCTTGGTTATATGTGTTCATGGATGTTGCCAACAGCAGATACGGTTAAGTTGTAGCTCGGCTGGGGGATCTGAGCGATTTGTCCGTCAAACTGATCGAAGACTGAGGCTACATCGAAGTGCTTCAGAGTATTGGTGGTACCTTGCAGGAGGCCAATGTCCTTCTCAAGGAGCCGCCAGTGGAGCGTTTCACCCTGCGGGACACTCGTCAAACGTGGCCTATGAAAACAGTTGACGCCGAAGGCTTCGATTTAAGAAGAACATTCATAGAATGTTTCCGATTGCTCATGATCAGTATAGTTGGGTTGGGTGTTGGTAGTTGGTACATGGTTTGCACATGGCTTCCACTGAGTATCGAGATCCTTCCACAACTCAGCACTGCCTAGCATTGCTGATGTTGGAGGAGTACCCAGAAGACTCATGGATTTGTCGCTTGGCGGCGCCTGTCACTGCGACTGTGATCCGGAGAGATCTCCATACGGATGCATCTTCTGTTCAACACCATGCAAAGTTTTCCCATGTTTTGTTTGGAGAGAGAAGCATTTTGGTTGCATGCTGACCACCGGAGTCATGGGAGTTGTGCAACTCTTGAGGTGTGAAGGACTTCTTGGACATTCTCTTCAGCCCTTCAGAGGTGCTCGGAAAAGTGAGCGCCCAGAATCGCCCACAGAAGCTCCCTCGTCGCGAAAACCGATGCTTTTCTGCTTTGAAGGTTTGATGATTGTAGAAGTCTGATGTTAAACCTCACCACTTCATCTGTGTCAAAAGCTCGTCATGTTTAATGTGTCAAGCAGAAACCTACTGATTCATCTCCTGCTCCCCCACAAGACTTGCTGATCCTTTCAATGCCGGCTACCGGCTAATGCGGCAAATTCAAGACTCCACCACCTTTTAGCGAGTTAGTGCTGCTTCAAACCTCATACTTTTCAGGACGTATGTCTGAGGCCATTGGGACCCGGTTTGGAAGAGCCAAGAAATGGTGGTGTTGTTGACGAAGACTGGTGGCCACTTGCTCCTGCGAGTCGCCGAACAGTGTCCTTTGCTCATTCTTGCTCCTATAGTTGCCCGACTTGCCTGACATACTGTTTACTTGGAGCAGACTTGATTTGAACTCTAATTGAACATCACCTGAGTATTTGCACCAGTGGGTGGGACTGCACTAATTGCCAATTGCTTCGATCGATTTAGGGCAAGTCATTTTGAAGATTTTGCCATTTCGATGGGCACTCTTTTTGTTTGCGCGGAACGGCCCTTGGCAGCAGAATCGGTAGGAATTATTTCATCCACCGCCTTTTCCAATTCTATCCGAATGTGGAGGTCTCATCAGGTCTTCTGCTTGTAGTGTGGCCACGGAGAGGCCGCCATAGAGTGTCATAGAATCATAGAATGATATTAGTAAATTTGTAGTGACACGTTTGACGCCGTCTGCACTTAAAGATTTTGCCCTGTGTACAAGTACCTCACTGCCCTTTTGCCAGGCCAGCCTGAAGCGCTACTTCGAGAAGGCTTACAAGGAAGGCGGTGTGTTCTATCACGAGGAGTATGAACACGATGCGGATGACTGGTGCTGGCTCCACAAGGGGTCTAACATCAAGGTGCCATCAATGTGAGGGTTTGCGTAACGCCTCGTCACACGTTTTTACAGTTGCTAACTTGAGCTGCACCGGTAGCTCGTAGCAGATTCTTGCAGGTCTGGCAAGATGCGCTTGACCCGACCTAAGTTGTTGCACAAACATGTTTGTTGCATTTTGTACTTGACGTAAGGGACAAGCTTTGTGATGTCTATATACAGGCAAAGGAGTTAGAGTTGACACCTGCCGTGCTTTCTAATTTCAGGTGTCAGAGCCTTTGGAAAAAGACTCTTTGGGACAAATGGCCCCCCCGATCAGGTGGTTTTCCTTGGTTCGTGACAGGCTATAGCCTCTATAGGCCCAAAGGCCTGGCGGGCCAAGAAACATGGCAGACCTTTGCCTGATCCCTGCCTTTTGACCTTTCAGGATCTGACGCAAGCTGGTGCTGGTGGTGCTGGTGGTGCTGGTGACGTAGAATGCTTTTTCCACTACACCACGGAGCTCGGCTTTCACAACATTACCAACGAAAGCAAAGAATTGGTGGAAGTCTTCGTGTTTCTCTCAGAATTCAATGTCATTACAATGTTTGAATTCAGTTCTTCACAGTGAGTCAGCTCCATTGCATCTGCCTTTGCAGGCATCTTTGGTCACAGAGGGTAAAAAGGCCAATGCCTGGTGGGGCCGAGGCAAGGGCTGCTAATGGCATGTCAGTCTTCTGTTAGATTCTATCTTGGAAACGGCAACAAAAAGTTCCAGAATAGGACGAAAAGCATTCGTAGTTTATTGATGCCATTGCATCTCTCAGGAGCCGGCGTTTTGCTGGGCACGTGTTCATTTCAACATGTTTGGCCACGGTGGTGTATCACTTGCACGTGTAGAACAGTGCGCACCGGTTTTGGGACTGTCCTACCCCTGCCGTTGTGAGACACACGGTTTGACATGACAGGTGTCTACTCCGTACAGAACTCAGTTGAGCGGGCACCCCAACGCGGGTGTCACACTTCGATGAATGCAAAATCTCAGAGATCCTGCCTGGGCCGATACAGCCATGCTGTCCGCACTGCATTTCCCCTAACACACCAGAACTGCAGCGTTACGTGTTGCGTGTTGTGGGGCGATTGAGGTTCGGAAAGCACCGAATCAATGGCCCAACATCGAGACCCTGCTCGATAATAATTACAGAAACATGATGAAGCGTGACATCGAACTGAAAGGCCGCGAGGCAACGGTAGAGGAGAGCTTTGCGTACAATTTGTGATTCTTCTTGATGTTTGCTGTTTGAAGATGATGAAGTATGTAGCATGCAGTGTTCACATTTCTTTCGTGCATGCAAGCCTAGCCTAGTATTGTTGGACAGACCGGGGCCGATTCCCTTTGAGATTCTTGATGAAGGAATATCACTCCAGAGTTGCCTATTGCATCCCCATGTTGGTGGATGCATGCTGCGCGTATGATGTCTCAAAACGACAGACGCCGGAAATGGTTGAGAAGGCTCGAATTGGATTTGCCATGGCTTGTGTATTTGTTTGCAACTGTGTGAAACTATCTTTGTGTTCGTGCGTTTTGCTGCTTGTCTTCCGCACAGGGCAGGCCGATCGGAGTGCAGCGCACCAAGTTCACTTTTGCACCATTAAAAAAGCTTCCATGTCCAAATTTAGACTTATCTACAGCCGGCCAAGGAATCTGGCTGGCAAGCTGCTGAATGAACCTGGAATGCCGCCAAGAGAATGCATAGTTGTCCGAGTACAACAGGAGGCGAGCAGACTTTGAAACAGATTATCATGGAAGTTTAGTTGGGACAACAACTCCAGAATTTCAATTCAACAGTTTATCAAGCAAGCTATATGTCATGCCAAGCTTCAAAAGCAATTAGGCAGTTCTGGCAGGGTTGCACATGTGTTGAGATGGTTTTTGCGTCTCTGGGTAGGGGGTGTTGGAACGATAATGGCTCGCAGTCAAAAAACAGTCGGGCATTCGCAACTTCTGGAATGCACGTATATACAGTGTTGCGTAGCTTCAAGTTGAAGCTGCAGATCCACAATGCTGATTTCGCATGTGTTCATGCCAGGCATTAATTACTGTAGATGCAAGGGCGCGCTGCAATACCATGAAAACGGTGTGGCGCAACGGCAAAAACTATCGTTCTAAACCATAGTGTAAGTACAAGGGCATTTTGCTGCTTGCTCAGGAGAAGGTCGGCCATGCTAGAGCAGTGCTGGTGGAAACGACGCTTGTTTGCTGATAATATAGTAAATAGTAAAACCTTAGTTTTTTGTCTTTCGACATCATCAAGGCGACTTCTTACCCAGTTTTCGACCTTCTGTTCTGGGGTTGTCAGTGCTTGTTTGCTGGCACATTGGACCAGGCAATTGCAGTCAACCTTTGTGTGGCTCTCATGCTTGGTGCCCGGATGGGCAGTGAGCTTTGTGAACACGTCGTTTTAAGCATTTTAAGCACTAGCAACTATGGCCTTGCACCTGTGCGTGGCTTGCTGCAAGCTTTTCACAATTTTCAGGGCATGCAAGGAATACCAGAATACGATACTTTTGACTTGAAGAGTGGCGAACGCCACCCCACAACCATTGACTTTGCTGTTTGTTTGTCTTTGGGACACTGTTGTAGGTTTAGGCTTGAACCGCTCTCCCAAATTGAATGGCCGTAGAGTAGAGCTAATTGATGTCACAGAAGTGAGTATTCGAGTACGGCTTGGGCAATCACCACAACCCAGAGTATTCAGAAATGAACTCCTCATTAGACTGTGAATCTGATTGATAACGCGCACTCTGGAGCGCTCGTGTTGATAGAAGATTGGTGAACGAGTTGTGAGTGGCCCAGGCTCCGCTGCCGCGCCGAAGCCATCACCACCCACCTGGGCTCAGAGCATGCTGAAACCCTTTTGGCGTTAAGCCGGTCACGTCCTCGGCCTTTTCAGAAATATTCGCAGGATTTCGCAGGCAATTTGTATAATACTGACTGCTGCAGATGCAATATGTGCTGGAAATTCCGAGAATGGCTTTGCATCTTTTGTTGTTGTCAGATTTCAATGACATGTCTAAAGACAATCCGATTATTACAGATCTAAATCAAATAACAGATCAACATATTACAGATCGAATTAATATGATATCACAAAAACGATTTCTTCATCCAAAAGGAGGTCCTTTTATTATTCCAACCTATCCTTGGACCTCGACTCCGTGAGGCTCGCGTCCGTGCTGGAGGACCGCGGCGCCCTGGCCGAGGCGGAGACGCTGCGGCGGCGGATCCTGGCGGCGGAAGAAGCGCAGTTTGGTCCCGAGGATCCGAACACGCTCAGTGCGCTGAACAATCTGGCGCTGGTCTTGACGCGTCGCGGCCAGTGGAAGGAAGCGACAGACTTGTACCGCAGGGTGGTGGAGGCGGACGAGCGTCTCCATGGAGCTGCGCATTTGGAGACGCTGGTGCCCGTGGCGAACTTGGCGGTTGTGCTGAGGCTTCAAGGCCAATTGGCCGAGGCGGAGGCGCTGCAGCGCCGGGTCCTGACGGGCCGCGAGGAACAGCTGGGGTCGAAGCATCGAGACACCTTAGTGTCATTGAACAACCTGGCACTCGTGCTTCAGAGCCAGGGCAAGTTGGATGAAGCGGAGCCCTTCGCCCGGAAATGCATGGAGGGAAGGGAAGCTCTTCTTGGAGCAGCACATCCAAGCACCTTGATTTCCATCAACAACCTAGCCACGCTTCTTTACGAGCAAGGCAAGCTCCATGAAGCAGAAGAGCTGTTCCGAAGAGCTCTTGCCGGAAGCGAAGCACAGCTGGGGCGCTCCCATCCAGATACCTTGACCTGGGTCTACAATTTGGCGAATGTCCTCATGAAGCAGAAGCACTTCGCTGACGCGGAACCGTTGATGCGGAGAGCCCTGGCGGGTTTCGAGTCGCACCTGGGAGCCGGGCATCCGCACACGTTGAACAGCATCCGTCGCCTGGCCAAGCTCTTGGAGGCGACCGGCTCCATCGCCGAGGCGCTGGGGAGCAATATTAATGGTCTGAAGGGGAGGACCTTCCGTGGATGGGCGGTGGAACGGTTGTTGGATTTGTGGTGAGTTTTCGGGGATACAATGAATCTGGAGTCATCATGGGGTTCCATGACAGTTAAAGACATTGGAGACTCAAGGCGTCATGCTAGCCCAGACCTCAGGCCGAGACCTTTCAAAGGGCAATAGCGATTTGGAAGTGACCTTCTTCAAGGATGAATGGCCGTTTTCGCTCAATGCGAACCGAATCTCCACCTCTGAAACAATCTCCCCCGAAAAGGTGTGGCAGGTCATCCACGGACTTCCAGTAGGCAATGCTCTGATGAAAAAGGACATTTGGTCCAGGGTGATTGGCTGTATTCGCTCAATGCGAACCCTTGGAAAAGGGATTTGGGGAACTTGGAGCTTTCTCTTCAGTTGCCTACCATAATGCTATACTGGACGTACCCCCTGGCTAAGCTTGAAGCTTCGGGAATTAGAGAGCCGATTGTCCAGGCTGAGGAGCTTTTCATCAGAGAGTTGAACGGCATGGAGGACAACCCGACAATCGAAAGACGCTGAAAGGATGCCTTTCACTCCACAGATCGTTTGCACAATGAGCATCAATGACAATTTGTCGCTCAACTCATTTCTCACACAACAATGCAGAACTTGTATTATTAGAGAGTTTCATGGTGAAGTGCATGCCTACCCCGTATACATTTACTGAAAATCAATCAATACTCGTAGGTACTGGTATATATATTTTTCCCTCGGAGTAAGAGCGGTCCAGGTGCACTTCAACCTGGTGATGCACACAAACAGTACACAAGTGTCTATGACTGTGATATCTGACACACCATGTTCATCAGGCACAGACAGCGCATTGCAACATGACATCTTCCAGCACCGGCACAGGAGCTCCACGGCCCTGAGGATCTGAAGACGCTCAGATCGATGAGCAACGTGGCACGTGTGCTGATTGAGCGGGAGAAGTTCGCTGACGCAGAGCCATTGATGAGGAGAGCCCTGGCGGGATTTGAAGCTCAACTCGGAGCCAATGATGCAGAAACGCTGAGCTGCGTCTATTGCCTGGCAGAGCTTTTGGAGGCGACTGGCTCCATCACCGAGGTGCGGGCGGATGATTGAGAGGGTTTGCGGTGGGTCGGATTTCTGTTGGACTGAGGGCGTTTGGAACGGATTCGCACAAAACGGAAAGTCCACGCCACCAGCCACTTGGGATCACGCGAGTTCGACGAGTTAACGAGCCCGATCGTCCAGGCTGAAGAGCTTTTCATCCGAGATTTCAACGGGATGGAGGACAATCCGACAATCGAAAGGCGTTGACTCGGCAGGTCATGTGCTCTTTACGAACTATTTATGTGACTTGTTTCTAAATCGAACTTTTCGGAGGTTCTCTGGTGCCTTCGTGTTATAAGATGTCTGGCCAGAGACTTGACCGTGTGTGGAGCAGAGGTGCACCACTAACCTCCAGCATCGTCTGAGCAAAAAACTCGGCTCCCAAAGGTTTACGGCCATGATTCTCTTTCACAGTCACTCTCAGCGAACCACAGGCAAGCATGCGGTTGGTGTGCTTAAGTGTGCTCTCAGTTGGTGACGCTTCCAGTGCAAAACGCAAGGACTCACCCCAAAACCATCCAAAACCCTGTTTCTGCTGCTTTTCATCGCAGGAGCTTCACGGCCCAGACAATGAGGAGACCCGAGGCAGTCGCAGAAACCTGGAGCGCTTCCGGCGCAAGCACGGGCGATCAGCAGGCTGAGGTGCTTCAGGGTGGGGGACTGATCCTTCGCAGGAACTCTTTTGTGATTTGATCAGCTGGTCATTTTGGTGAATGTTCTTGCGCCACGCGTCGTGGCCATGCTTTTGCTTTCCATGGTGTTGATCGTTTTTGCGTTAACCAGGGAATCCGGATGTGGTTTTTCTGAAAGACCGGACCAAAGTCTGTTTAATCTCTTTCTTACTGCGCGAATCTCACGTACACGTGGAGTTCATGCAGAGCCTTTGCTTTCTTTATTGGATTTCATTGAACCGGTGTCAATACTCCATGTCCTGGTGGATAACAAACAATTGCATTTTGTTTGTTGTGTTCAGTCCTGCCTATGGAACTCTTCAGCATGATCTAGGTGTCCTTCTTTGGTGCTTGCAGTGTTTTGCACCGTCCCTCACTTCATACCACGATCATTGGCTCCTCCACTCCGCTTCATTGTGACTTACATGCCATGTCGACTCACCAGCACGAGCAGTCAGTAGCCCCTTCTAAAGCTGCCAGAACAACAATAGGACACAACAGAAAGAAGGAATCCGCTCCAGGCAGCATCTACCTCATGGCCAAGGCACTGTGTGTGTCACCATCGTTGCAGCCCAACGGCATCCAAAGACGAACTAAGTCATTGGAGGATCCAAAGAGCTTGGCTTGAGTGAAAAAAGTATCAGTCCTCCGGGGAGTGGGTTGAGATGTTCCTGTATGATGTATGGCTTGAGAATGGCATCCTGCATTCTGAACATTGCCTCATAACGTTTGCAGCACATGCTTCTTTGGAGACGTTCCAAACGTTCTAATCTATTGCCACCCCACAATCAGTTGGATGAAAACATGGGTCTTTTGGATCAAAAGTCAGGAAGGAACCAACATCTTGGAACCAAACCCGCTCCACTTCTGCCTCCAACGTTTCTCTTCCACTCGGTTCGACCGCCACGGGGTAACTTTTCTTGATTTCTGGATCCGCAGGATTCTCCACCTTTGTCCGTTTTTAGTTGGATCGTTGAAACAGTACCACCATTTGGTCAACTACTTGTTGGTACGAGCTACTTCTTGGATCTTCCTGGCTTGTAGCAAAAACATGCAAAAACTAGTGAATTTGCAAACCCCTTAAACTCAACTCTCGCGACCTCCCACCCAATCACGTGAGCAGCTCACTCAACTGCACGCTCCCCTGACCCCTCGTGAACGCTCGACTGCTGCGGTTTGGGCTCAGCTGTAAGGGCAATGTGGGTTTGAATTGCACTACACTGCACCCGCAGAAGGGATAGGGGGCGACATGCGCCCCCTTCTGCAGTAGTCTTGGCCGCGCCTTGGTGGCAATTAAGGCTGGTTTCAGGATGGTGTGAAACACTCACTGCAAGAACTGATGGAGAATGACGGTTTGCCCTGCATTGGGAAGAGTCCTCTCATGCCTTTGGGATCCTTTGGGATATTGGGATGTGAACTACTGCTAAGAGCTTTTCTGGTGTTCTGCACTCACAGGCGGGCTGCTGATGAAATTGGCGAGAATTACCGTCCGATTGGCAGATGAAGACAGGCCATGCGTGGTGTTGATCTTGAATCTTGTTGGAGATTCTGATCCCTAGTGGATCGCGCGGTCTCCAATTAGATAAGTTTGCTGTTTCCGATCCTTTGCTTTTCCGTGGTTAGCTATGCCTTGAGATCAGCAACAGAGGGTTGCTCATGGAGGATTTCTAGTTACGACGACGACGACGACGACGTTTGAGAATTTATTAAAGCCCGTATGATGTCACCCATGCGATTTGAATGAGAAGACTCATTTTTTCGCTGGAACATAACCGGGACTATGGGGGGGCGTCCACCTCGCTTTATGACTCGCGCGATCCGGTGAGCAACGGGATTCCACACTGATCCGTGCATGAGCGATCGCCAGGTTTCATCTTGAAGATGGAGCAACGACAATCATGCCTCGGACAGAGGGCCTGTGGGCCACCACTTGGCTGAAGAACTCATAGAGGACAAGTGTAGCGCTGGACAAAAACGTGGATGTAGTAGCTTTTTCTTGCTAGCTTTTCCTCACCAAAAATCACGCGGGAGGAACTACTCCAGTTGGTGGTTCCTCGCAGATTGTTGGTTGTCGCATTTTTGTAGGTCTCCAAACAAAGACCAGAATTGTTGTCACAGTTGTCTGGTGGAAGGATCAAAGCTATATGTTTGCATAAGAGAACTGTGTCCTCAACTTTGTTCCAGCCAACTAGGACTCCCAAACCAAGCCATGACCCTCTCTTCAGCCTCCCAAACCGCGATGAGTCTGTCCACCGGCAGCAGGACGGCAGGACGGCTGCCGATTCCTTCCCTCCGAAGTTTCGCAGGCGAGACGTTGATGGAATGTCGTTTGCGCTTGCTTGGTTTGCATGAAGGGGGGTGAGTCTGATGATTTCTATACGACATGGTGACTCAAAGACCCGGGCTTTGGAACTTTAGGTTGGACTGCTAAGGGGGTTGTTGGCGCTGCTTAGGATTAGAGTCCTATAATATCAAAGACTCTTGGATGACTCCAAGAATACAAGCTGAGCAAGACAAAGCTGAACGCGCATCCCATGACTAGAAAGATCAAAGACCTTGCTCACCGCCCAGGAACTGGTCGACCAGGTGGTTCCAGGATGGTACGATCTCTTTTACTAGCCACGCTCCAGCGCCTTAGTCTGCAGAGTTTTCTCCTGAGGCACTTCGTCGGGCAGAGTCGGGACAGTTGAGAGCAACGACCAGTGTCCAGAGGCCACAAGCAAGGTCCGTCAGGCCAAAGGTTGGCGGGTTGATTGTTCTGCTCCTTGAAGGAGTCTCTTCGTGTTACGTGAAAACCGCCCCTTTGGGCCATTAGAACCACCAGTCTAGGGCTAGAGCCATACCAGAACCTGTGACCTCAACAGCAAGCAGGACAGACAGGATGATTTGCTACCCCCCCCCTCACCTCTTTTGGGTTCCATACGATAAGTAGATCAGAGACTGATGAAATTTATAGATGAAACATGTGCCAGACACACAAATAGAAATTCCAAGTGCCTTCATTGTTGACCATCATTTTTTGCACTATAGATTTCATAGAATACATGTAGTAAATAACAACAATCCATTTTTGCACGATCACTGTAGAATCCATAACCATCCAGGACCTCTATATTGTGGTACGGCGCTTTTGTTGACTTTAACCAGAAACAAGGATGTCATTGTCAATAAGTAGAATTGCCATTAAACTCATTAAACTGGATCATAAAGTTTAATGGCGTAGTTTGCTCCTTCACTTACCTGGTCTGTTCTTTTCTCCAACACTGATACTGTGCCACTGGTGTCACTGTGACATGTGCTTTATCAACTTCATCGATCATCTGAGCACGGTTCTCGCCTGTGAACACTTGGCCAAGGTGCAGTCTGCAGCTACAGGGAGTCGCATTCGCTCGTGCAAGGCATCAAGGGTGGAATCGGAGAAGTGGAATCGGCTCTTTTTGTTTGTTTTGCGCTTGTTGGATGTGATTCATCTTGAGGCTTGCCCACCAAGGATTTTGGTCAAAAACCTGGCTCTCCAAGAACACCATTCTGGGAGGATTTTGTATTTCGCAGCGGAGAGGCGACGAACCCGGGAGCCGTAGGATCCTGTTGATAGATAGCTCGCCCCAAAAAAGTGCGGGACACACTGGGGAATTGCATGGTTCATGAGGCTTCATGAGTTACGATCAGTTTGGTTCGTGGAACCAAGTAAAACTTCATCAACCTCAGAGTTCTTTCCTGTAGATCTGCCAATCTCCTTGTCCCCGCTGGTCATGTGTGGCAGCACGACAGGCACCAGGTACACGCCCAGTGCCCCGGCACTGCGAACGGCTGGGAAGGAGAACTCTTTGATTGGCACGAGTAGATGCGTACTACGATCCGTGACGATGTGAAGGTGATGGCTGTTTGGTGTCAATCGATCTTTTGACTTCACTGGCGCGGCACATCGATTTGCGCTTTTCACTGTTCATGCTGCCGGAGGTGTTTCTGTTTGTTCTTCTGACCGGTTTCAGTGTCATCGGATTTTGGTTAAAGATACCTTCTTGCGATTGTAGCTTTGACTGAACAGTAATAGGGTTCAACATGGATACAAATGATTGAATTACAGTGGCTGCGGCTACGTTCTGTTTCATATTGTTTCATTGAGGGTCCCGTCCTATTGAGAGATGAGATTCTACGTTGACTGAATGTTTTTTCTGTCGAGCATGCAATTTCATTCCAGGCCGCCAAAGGAAGACGGAGAAGAACTACATAAGAACACATTTCTGAAACACGATGTTGCATGTTCAATTTTGGCAGGAATCTTCGATGTCATGGCAGACCATCGTAGGTGATCAAATGTCGCTCTTCGTCTCACCCGCTTCGACCAAGCCCAAAGACGAGCTATCTCGATGGATGGAACGAGTTCCAGTTCGAGTGACAAAACAAGGGCGATTTCCCACCTGCTGGACCCATTGGAGACTTGTTCTCGGTCTTTTGTGGATTTGGTCTAGTAGAGTCTCAGTCTTTTGAATTAGTAGACGCAGCACAGCTCCAACTCATGTTCCGAATCGGTGGAAGGAATGCCTCAGCAGCTTTGACACGCTGCTTTCTTTCCCACAGCCTGGATCTCTACTTAGCCTGATTTGGCTTGAGAAGTCTTTTGATCTTTTTGGGTTTGAAGGTTGAAGTTCTTTCATGTTGCGCTCCTACATCCGAACACGATGCCCGCCGCAGCATCAGCAGCCCTTCTCAAGTTGCAGTTGCAGCAACACCCACGGCCAAGGCACACACAGACACCTCTACATCGCTCAGACTTACACTTCTATGCCATTCACAACGTGATAAGTGCCAAACATCCACCGCCGCTTTGCCAGGCAGGTGATATATATATGACCGCAGGACTCTGATGCAAGTATGTGCAATAACAGAACAATGTACCAGATGAATCTTCCACAAAACGTGACAACCCTGGATCTATACTGGATCTATAACGTACAACATTTTAACGTGGCTGGCTTGGGGGATATAGGCAGCATATTAAGTGGATCCTTCGGTGTGGCGGTTCCCTCTTCTTCGAAGGCAAATTCAAAGGATCAATGATCACCACAATTTTATCGCGATCAACCATATTATGTCAAACGTCGAGAATCATAGATCCACATGTCCTGACAGTGTAAGACTCCAAAAGACATTTTATACAGCTAGCAGGTCTCCCTTTCAGGGGGAAAATCCCCCAATCTTAAGCATTCTAAAGCTAATAAGTCAGATTTTATGCAATCTCAAAGAAAACTCATCTCATAATCAAATCTTTCTCCACACCACACCGGTCACCGCTCCTCTCATCGTTTGCACCACGCTACATCATCGCTTCGTTGAACCGATCTCTGCTCCCTGTGGACCGGACCTCGGTGCGCCGGTGCAGTGGGGGGTCCGGTGACGACGGTGAGGCATCACGAAGTGTTTTTGGGTCCAATGGGGGAGACTTCCGGGTATGTAAAGAGCCGTGGATGGATGTGGCCCGGGGTGCCTGCGATAGCCATTTCCCCTCACGAAAGGTGGCGTTGCTGGTCAATCTTGGTCGTCTTCGGGTCTATGGTCTACGGCGACATGGTCCAGGACTCTAGAAGAAAGAGTTAAGTTCACCACATTTGCCCACAGGGTGGGACCTGATTGCGATCTTCGGCTGAATGGGGTTCTACATGTTTGGACTCTGTGGATGCTGACAAGCACAAGAAACCTCCCTTTGATGGCAAATACCTTTCCTTTAAATGTTGTTTCAAAAAGGGATGGTTCTCTCAAGACTTGCAAGGTCATCCCTCAAAGCGTATGAGGTCACTATACCGAAGGCGGTTTCCCCACGCGGCGCGCTCGTGGTGCAGGGCCTGCGGCAATGGGAAGCGGCAGCTCGGCGCAGGAGTTCAGCCCGGTGGTGGCCACAGAGGCACTGAGGGACGATGATGCAGTGGTTGGACACTTGGACTCGGTGGGACGCACCTGTTTCAGGATTCCCCGCGAATGAGTGGATGCACTTGCTGAGACGATTGGCCGCGCACCCTTTTAGTTGGCTCATTAGAGTTCTTGTGACTTGGGTGATTGTCTTGTGCATGGGAGTTTACCCGGTGGACATTGTTGCTTAAAGACGTCTCAAGCGCCAATTCTGGAGGATGCGGCTGCTGGGGGCCATCGCGGCTTGGCAGAAGAACATTGGATAGACTCGTGTGATCTTCCTGATAGCCGCTCGTGGCCACTGGCACCTTGCCACTGGTTTTGAGGTGCATGAATCTTCATGTTTGGTATCTTATCTTGTAAGTTCATTTCAACGGCAACAAAAACAGCAAAGCTTTGCTGCAACATGCTCCAAAACTCCAAAGGATGTTGACCTTTCAACTGTACATTTAGTAAAGACATGCTGCTGACCTCAGACGCAGATAGCATCAATCCACATCAGATGGCCGCCCCAGCTGGTCCTTTCTCCCACGCTGAGGAGACTCGACGCCCGGCGTCAGCTCCACAGCGGGAGGAACTCAGAGAGGCGCGCAGTTCCGCCCTCCGCCGCGAACGCAGTCACAGTCGGTGTAATGCGACTCTTCAGTGACTTGTTGAAGCGAGCTGGAAGCAGTTTTGGGTGGTTTGGTGGCGTTTTGGAAACGAACGACATCGCTCCAACATCTTGAGGAATAAAACACGAGAAGTTTCTCCACCTCTTTTGGAGACTTGGCTCTTCCCTGGTTGAACCGATTCCGTCCACTGGGTCCGTGAAGAGAGGTTGCTGGAGCTGGAGAGGTTGCTGGGGGAGCTCGGAGGTTGCTGGGGGAGGTCGGAGGTTCTCAAAGGAGGCTCGGAAGATGTTTCTTCACGGAGGCTTTTTGAAGAATGACAGGTTGAAGGGATCATCGAACAGTTTTCAGGGTCGGTGAAGTTTGTTGGTTTGGGTGAAGCTCGTTGGAGACTTTTGTTCATGCGGAAGGTTTGGCCAGGAAGGCAGCTCTTTTTTTTCTTGTGTGTTTTTTGGATGGATTCCGGGCTGGCCACTGGATATGTGGTTTGTTTGATGTTTGATGTGACTGTTGTATTGCGAGAGGCGCTGGAAGCAGTGTGGAAAGCATGACAGCTGCCTGGAAGCAAGATGCTGCAGCATCAGTCCTGTAGGGTAGGGGGGCTCTGAAGCTTTTAGCTAAGTTATACCCAAATGCCTTCAGAAACCGAACCAAACTGTGCAGATATGAACCTCTTGTCAGCAAAAATTTACCAGGGCTGAGTCGGGCTGAGCCCAAGGAGGGCTGAGTTATGGCACCTTGACGAGTCATGCCAGACTTTGACGAGAAAACATCCCAATACCGGCGGCCTCCAAGCCCCTCTCCCTTATACTTATAAACAGTGCGCCAATTCCCGTACCAAAGAAAACTCCATACAACTCCGAAACAGACCCTTTCCAAGACCCTTCCAAGACCCTCACCTCCTTCTTTGGACCTGACGATAAAAGCGTTGCCAAACCACGGTTTTTGGGCGTCGAGCCCAGCGGAGCCAAGGACTTGCGGCGCCAGGTCGAGGCGATCTTCACCTCGAAGCTGGGAGAGTCCGACTCTTTGGAGCGGCAGAGCTCCTGGGACCCGGGTGAAGTTGGGAGCGTCGGAGAGGAGGTCCTGAGATAGAAGTGATATGTTGTTTTGTGTACGACTCATGTTATTTGGATAACAAACATCTTGCTTTGGATGTCTTGGTCTTGGGATGTCTTGGGATTTTCTGCATTTGTTGAAATCATTTGGTACGGTACGACTCTATAATTACCGTACAGGTACACATTGGGATTGCGGACAACTGCGGACTTTTTGGGTGGAGTTTGTGTCCTTTTCTTGGTTATATGTTTCTTGGATGTTGCCAACAGCAGACACGGTTAAATTGTAGCTCGGCTGGGAGATCTGAGAGATTTGTCCGTCAATCTGATCGAAGACTGAGGCTACATCGAAGTGCTTCGGAGTATTGGTGGTACCTTGCAGGAGGCCAATGTCCTTCTCAAGGAGCCATCACCGGTGGAGCGTTTCAGCCTGCGGGACACTCGTCAAACGTGGCCTATTGAAAACAGTTGACGCCGAAGGCTTCGATTTAAGAAGAACAACTTCATAGAATGTTTCCGATTGCTCATGATCAGTATAGTTGGGTTGGGTGTTGGTAGTTGGTACATGGTTTACACATGTTTACACTGAGTATCGAGATCCTTCCGCAACTGAGCACTGCCTAGCATTGCTGATGTTGGAGGAGTACCCAGAAGACTCACGGATTTGTCGCTTGGCGGCGCCTGTCACTGCGACACTGATCCGGAGAGCGCCATGCAGATGCATTTTCTGCTCAGCACCATGCAAAGTTGTCCCATGTTTTGTTTGGATAGAGAAGCATTTTGTTTGCTGACCACCGGAGTCATGGGAGCTGTGCAACTCTTGAGGTGTGAAGGACTTCTTGGACATTCTCTTCAGCCCTCCAGAGGTGCCCGAAAAAGTGAGCGCCCAGAATCGTCCACAGAAGCTCCCTCGTCGCGAAAACCGATGCTTTTCTGCTTTGAAGGTTTGATGATTGTAGAAGTCTGATGTTAAACCTCACCACTTCACCCGTGTCAAAAGCTCATTATGTTTAAAGTGCCAAACAAAAAACTACTGATTCATCTCCTCCCCCCACAAAAGACTTGTCGATCCTTTCAATGTCTTTCCAATCATGCAGGTTTTGTGACACTGAGAGTGTCTTCTCATGTGCCAGGCTTATACCGGCTACCGGCTAATTCAAGACTCCACCACCTTTTAGAGAGTTAGTGCTGCTTCAAACCTCATACTTTTCAGGACGTATTTTCTGAGGCCATTGGGACCCGGTTTGGAACCTTTAGAGCCAAGAAATGGTGGTGGTGTTGACGAACACTGGTGGCCATGATTCCTGGGAGTCGCCGAACAGCGTCCTTTGGTCAATTTTGCTCCTAGTTGCCCGACTTACCTGACATACTTGGAGCCAGCTTGATTTGGACTCTAATTGAACATTGCCACCCGATATTTCGGCCACAAGTGGGTGGGACTGCACGAATTGCTCATTGCTTGAATCGATGTCGGGATCTTGCCCTGTGTATAAGTATCTCACTGCCCTTTTGCCAGGCTAGTCTGAAGCGCTACTTCGAGAAGGATTACAAGGAAGGTGGTGTGTTCGCTCATGAGGAGTATGCATACGATGCAGCTGACTGGTGCTGGCTCCACGAGGGGTCGAACATCAAGGTGCCATCAATGTGAAGGTTTGCGTAACTTCTAACTTCTCGTCAAACCTCTTCACAGTTGCCTACTTGCACCAGTAGTTAGTAGCAGATTCTTGCAGGTCTGGCAAGATGCGCTTGACCCAACCTGAGTTGTTGCACAAACATGTTTCTTGCATTTTGTTTTTGATGTAAGGGACTGCAGAACATTAAACAGCGATAAGCTTTGTGATGTCTATATAGGCAAACGAGTTAGAGTTGACACCTGAGTGCTTTCTAATTTCAGGTTTCAGAGCCTTTGGATAAAATCACTCTTTGGGACAAATGGCCCCTCGAGCATGTGGTGTTCCTTGTTCCGTGACAGGCTATAGGAACAAAGGCTATCTCTGGCGGACTGAGAAACATGTCGGACCTCTGCCTGATCCATGCCTTTTGATATCTTAGGATCTGACGCAAGCTGGTGCTGGTGGTGCTGGTGACGTAGAATGCTTTTTCCACTACACCACGGAGCTCGGCTTTTACAACATCACCAACGAAAGCAAAGAATTGGTGGAAGTCTTCGTGTTTTTCTCAGAGTTCAATGTCATTACAATGTGTTGAATTCAGTTCTTCCCAGTCAGTCAGCTCCACTGCATCCGTGCTTTTTGCAGGCATCGTTGATCACAGAGGGTGAAAAGGCCAATGCCTGGTGGGGTCGAGGCAAGGGCAGCTACTGGGATGTCAGTCTTGGACACGACAAATTAAATATATATAGTTCCAGAATAGGACACACAGCATACGTAGAGTTTATTGATGTCATCGCATCTCTCAGGAGCCAGGAGCCGGCGTTTTGCTGGGCATGTGTTCATTTCAACATGTTTGGCCACGGTGGGTAGTGTATCACTTGCATGTGGTTCAACAGTGCGCATCGGTTTTGGCACTGTCCTACCACCGTCGCAACGCGAGACACACGGTTTGACAGCAAATGACAGGTGTCTACACTGTACAGAACTTAGTTGCATGGGCACCCGAACGCGGGTGTCACACTTCGATGAATGCATTGGGCACTCTTTTTGCATGGTGCTTTGGGCTTCTTACAGGACATACATACATGTAGGTCCTGCCTTGACCGATACAGCCATGCGGTCCGCACTGCATTTCCCCTAACACACCAGAACTGCAGCGTTACGTGTTGCGTGTTGTGGGGCGATTGAGGTGCGGAAAGCACCGGATCAATGGCCCGACATCGAGACCCTGCTCGACAATAATTACAGAAACATGATGAAGCGTGACTTCGAGCTGAAAGGCCGCGAGGCAACGGTAGAGGAGAGGTTTGTGTAAATGAAGATGTTTGAAGTATGTAGTATGCAGTGTTCATATTTCTTTTGTGCATGCAAGCCTAGCCTAGCCTTGTTGGACAGACCGGGGCCGATTCCCTTTGAGATTCTTGATGAAGGAATATCACGCCAGAGTTGCCTATTGCATCCCCATTTTGGTTGATGCAAGCTGCGCGTATGACGTATCAAAACGACAGACGCCGGAAATGGTTGAGAAGGCTCGAATTGGATTTGTCATGGAACGTGTATTTGGTTGCAACTGTGTGAAACCGTCTTTGTTTTCGCGCACTTTGCTGCTCGTCTTCCGGACAGGGCAAGCCAATCGGAGTGCAGCGCACCAAGTTTACTTCTGCACCATCAAACAAACTTCCGTATCCAAATTTGGACCATGATCTGCAGCTGGCCAAGGAATCTGGCTGGCAAGCTGCTGAATGAACCTGGAATGCCGCCAAGAGAATGCATAGTTGTCCGAGTACAGCAGGAGGCGAGCAGACTTTGAAACAGAATATCATGGAAGTTTAGTTGGGACAACAACTCCAGAATTTCAATTCAACAGTTTATCAAGCAAACTATATCAAACTATATACTGTATGTCATGCCAAGCTTCAAAAGCAATTAGGCTGTTATGGCAGGGTTGCCCAGGGGGTGTTGGAACGATAGTGGCTCGCAGTGAGAAACAGTCGGGCATTCGGAGCTTCTGGAATGCGAGTATATTTTGGAAGTGTTGCTTAGCTTCAAGTTGAAGCTGCAGATCCACAATGCTGATTTCGCATGTGTTCATGCTGGGCCGGGCATTAATCACTGCACTGTAGATGCAAGTGTGCGCTGCAATACCATGAAAACGGTGTGGCGCAACGAATCTCGTTCTAAACTATAGTATAAGTACAAGGGCACTTTGCTGCTTGCTCAGGAGAAGGTCGGCCATGCTAGAGCAGTGCTGGTGGAAACGACGCTTGTTTGCTAATAAGATAGTAAATAATAGTAACACCTTCTTTTTTGTCTTTCGACATCATCAAGGCGATTTCTTACCAAGTTTTCGACCTTCTGTTCTGGTCTTGTCAGTGTTTGTTTGCTGGCAGATTGGACGAGGCAATTGCAGTAAACCTTTGTATGTCTCTCATGCTTTGTGCCCGGATGGGCAGTGAGCTTTGTGGACACGTCGTTTTAAGCACTAGCAACTATGGCCTTGCACCTGTGCGTGGCTTGCTGCAAACTTTTGACAATTTTAGGGGCATGCAAGGAATACCAGAATACGATACTATCTGACTTGAAGAGTGGCGAAGGCCACCCCACAACCATTGACTTTACTGTTGTTTGTCTTTGGGAAGCTGACAGAAACTACCCCGATGCCTATCCAGCGCAGATCAGCTAATGGCTGATGATTTTTTCTTCCAAATGTCGCAATAGCCTGGAAAGTCCTGTTGTAGGTTCTAGGCTTGAACCGCTCTCCCAAATTGAATGGCCGTAGAGTAGAGCTAATTGATGTCAGAGAATTGAGTATTCGAGTACGGATTGGGCAATAGCCACAATTCAGAGTAATTATTCAGAAATCAAACCCTCAATAGACTGTGAATCGAGTTAAAAAAGTAGTAGCCAGATTGATAATGTGCACAGTCTGGGACACCGGTGTTGACAGAAGATTGGTGAACGAGTTGTGAGTGGCCCAGGCTCCGCTGCCGCGCCGACGCCATCACCACCAACCTGGGCTCAGAGCATGCTGCGACCCTTTTGGCGTCAAGCCGGTCACGTCCTTGGCCTTTTCCGGAAATATTCTCAGGCAATTTGCATAATACTGACTACTGCAGATGCAATATGTGCTGGAAATTCTGAGAATCTGTCGGACAGAGCCTTGATCACTTGCATTTTTTTTTGCCAGATTTCAATGACATGTCTAAAGAAGCGTTGATCATTACAGATTTAAATAACATTACAGATCAAATGATTGCAGATCAACTTAATTAGATCACAAACATGATTTAACTATTCAGAAATTCATCTAAAAAGAGGTCCTTTTTGATGTCTACTCCATGAGGCTCGCGCGAGTGCTGGAGTGGCGCGGCGCCTTGATCGAGGCGGAGACGCTGTGGCGGCGGATCCTGGCGGCGCACGAAGCGCAGCAAGGCCCCGAGGATCCGGAGACGCTCATTGCGCTGCACAATCTGGCGAGCGTCTTGGAGCGTCGAGGGCAGTGGAAGGACGCCGAAGACTTGTACCGCAGGGCGGTGGAGGCGCAGGAGCGTTTGGGAGCGGCGCATTGGCGCTTGCTGACGTCCCTGGAGAACTTGGCGAATGTGCTGATGCTTCAAGGCCAATTGGCCGAGGCGGAGGCGCTGCAGCGCCGGGTCCTGGCGGGCCGCGAGGATCAGCTGGGGTCGAAGCATCGAGACACCTTAGCGTCATTGAACAACCTGGCACTCGTGCTTCAGAGCCAGGGCAAGTTGGATGAAGCGGAGCCCTTCGCCCGGAGAGACTTGGAAGGAAGCGAGGCTCTTCTTGGAGCAGCACATCCAGACACCTTGGTTTCCGTGAACAACCTGGCACTCGTTCTCGAAGCCCAAGGCAAGCTCTCTGAAGCCGAGGAACTGTTCCGAAGAGCTTTCGCCGGGGGCGAAGCGCAGCTGGGGACATCCCATCCCGAGACCTTGACCTGGCTCCACAATTTGGCGGGTGTCCTGATGAAGCGGCAGAACTTCGCTGACGCAGAGCCCTTGATGCGGAGAGCCGTGGCGGGTTGCGAGGCGCACCTCGGAGCCGGGCATCCTCACACGCTGAGCAGCGTCTATCGCCTGGCCGAGCTCTTGGAGGCGACCGGCTCCATCGCTGAGGCGCTGGGGAGCAAGGGTTTGAGGGGAGGACTTTCCGCAGATCGGCTACGGTGAGGGGATGTTGGAGGGTGTGTCTGTGAATTTCATGGCATCATTGGGTTCCATGACAGTTAAACAATCGGAGACTCAAGGTGTCATGGTAGCCGAGACTTCAGGCCGAGACCTTTCAGAGGGCAATAGCAAGTATTCGGAAGTGATTTGGAAGTGTGAGACCTTATTCAAGGGTGATTGGCTGTATTCGATCAATGCGAACCCTTGAAAAAGGATGAAAAAGGATGAAAAAGGTGGGAACTTGGAGCTTTCTCTTTGATTGCCTACCATAATGCTAGTGGACGTACCCACTGGCCCAGGTGTCTCACCCCTAAGTTTGAAGCTTTGGGAATTCGAGAGCCGATTGTCCAGGCTGAAGAGCTTTTCATCAGAGAGTTGAACGGCCTGGAGGACAATTCGGCAATCGAAAGACACTGAAAGGATGCCATGCAATCCACAGATCGATTGCTCAATGAGCGTCAATGAAACTTTGGCACTCATTTCTCACAGAAGTGTTCGGCATTTCATCGCTCACTCGACAAACCCAAGGGGTTTCGATATATGTTTAAGGTGTCCAGTTTATGTAGGGCTGGGATGTTCGACTTAGGCGAAGCATACACCGAAGCATACCCCCGAAGCATACCCTGAAGCATACCCTCTGGAAATGCTACTACTTTAGTCTTCACACTGCGCGAAGCATACCCCCGAAGCATACCCCATAGTCAAACATCCCGGCCCGGGAACCTTAATACAAACGAGATTATAGTCCTTTCCCTGGGGTCAGAGACTTGGTCCTTTTGTGTACCTCTATAGCGTTTGAGCAAACGACTCAGCGTCCAGCGTTTGTGATCACAGTCACAATCCGTCTCAGAGAGCCACAGCCTTCCATGTAGGTGATTGGTGTGCTTAAGTGCTCTCAGTTGGTGATGTGCATAAGTCACTGAAACCCTGTGTTTGCCCCTGAATCGCAGGAGCTTCACGGCCCAGACCATGAGGAGACCCAAGCCAGCCGCCGAAACCTGGAGTGCTTCCGGCATGAGCACGGGCGATCAGCAGGCTGAGGTGCTTCAGGCTTCAGGGTGGGGAGGACATCTCCTTCGCAGGAAACTCTTGTGATCTGATCGAATGGTCGTTTTGGTGAAGGTTTTCTTTTTTCAATGGTTCGTGCATGGTTCATTCAGGCAGAAAAACTAATGGCCTGCCAGGATTTGCGTACACCTAGATGGTTCGTGCATGGGGTAGAGTTTATATATGGTTTATGGGCATTCCCGCGCGTGAAATAAGATTGGTGGAAGACTGTACTATTTCGCTGCGCGTCATGGCAGTGCTTTTGATTCCAATGCAGATGATGTCGTACATTTTTCTTGAAACCCGAGTCTTATGCAGACATAGAGAGATTGCAGAGCCTGTGGGTTTTCCAGGTGTTAAGTTCATGGAACTGGTGCCAATACTGGACTTACTGTTTGTCCTGGTGGATGACAATCATTTGGTTCTGGGCAGGTCTGCCACGCCCGTGCATCCTTGTAGAAACCAAGTCTTTGCATTTTACTGGTATAATTTCAAGGCGTTTTCAAGATGATAGGTTTCATTTGGTTGAACAGCAGAAACATAATGTTGGATTGCGGCGCTTCGTGGTGCTGCATCATTCATGTCCTTCATGACAGAGCTTGTCCCTCCACTCCACATCATTCTGAAGCTCCCTGTTGACACCAGCTAGAGCAAGCAATCTATTTCTAAGCTGCCTGAGGAAGGCGGAAGATTACATGCCCCCTGCCTGTTTCCTCTACAGAATGCTTAACACCACCTCACCTGGCTAACTCACAGGGGATAGAAAAAAACATGTTGAAACAAATAACGATGCGTTGCAAGTCGCCCTCGCGCCACCATTTACCTCAAGGCCAAGATCGATGATCAAAGTAGCGTTTGTGTCACCAACCTCCGAGCAGACGTAGTGAGCTCGCTACGTCGAAGAGAGGTTTTCAAGGAGCGTGGCTGGCTCGAGTGAAAGGCATGGCTCCCTGTGGTGGATCGAAAGGTTCCTTTGCTTGGCAGCAGGTTTTTGGTACAAAGGTCGCAGCCTGTGCCAAAGGAATCCAAAGGAATCCAAAGGAATGAAGGGTGGTATGACTGGTGTAGATCAGTACGGCTCGTTTCATTTGGTGATGTTGGTGAAATCACAGGAGCTTGTAGCATGTGGACATGGAAGTAAGTATACCGTGGGATTCCTTTGCGTGCCCCAAAAAGTTGTACGAAGCCAGGATATGGGCTGTTCATATTCTCACATGACTCCAAAATCTGCAGTTTGAGTTGATTGATTAAATCGACCAAGAAAGGCTGCAGCCTTTGGCTTAAAGAGGTGAGTCAATGTGGATAAGCATCACATCGTGCAGTGACAGCATCAAACAATGCTTGTTAAGCAGGCGTCATTTATTGTCGTTTAAGGAATTCAGTTTGAGAAAAGACTCCCCCAAAATGGATCCATGTTAATCTGAACTATATATCCAGTATACAGTCAGTATATACATTCCAGTATCATTCTGGGGGTATGGAAAAAGATGCGAAAGGATGAAGCATGTCTTGTCCTGTCCTCACCAGGCCCCTACTCAAATTGGGGTTTGACAGCTGGCATACATGTTTCAAAGAGATGATGAACGAGCCTATATCTAGCCTCCCCCACTCAGGGAAAACACTTCGCTTTCTGAAGAGGGGTTTGTACAACATTGTTTTGACATCCCAGGTTCAATATGCCTAATTTCAGAGGCACCGTTGGCTGCAAAAGCGGCCCAGCGACGTTTGGCCCGGCGGCCTCGGACCAGCCGCCCAGCGCCATGTCCCGCCCGTTTCCCTCGCCGCGGCACGCAGCGAGGATGCCACAGGGGCGGCAGGGCCTGGTCAACCAGCCCAAGCGAACCAACGCTCCGCCCCCCTGAACTGGGGTTTTGATGGGTTTTGTGTCGATCAAAGAACCGTATTTTAAGTAGTTCGAAGATGTCGTCTACGGCTTGGTGGCGACTACTATATATTATAGCATATACTGCGCTATACATAAACATCTTAAAACAAGTTAAACACCACTTAGTAAGGGCCCAACCCATCCAAGTGTTTCAACCGAGCGCACATCAGAAAACGCGACCATCAGAAAACTTGCAGCAAGAGTCCACCTCCGGCTCGAGCCGGCACATTTGGCGCCCGGTTGCAAAACCCAGCCAACATCAGCCAGTCAAAACTTGATGCGCTTTGCGCAAAGCCAGAAGGCAGTGCTCAGTCAGAACCCGCTCAGCTCGCTCAGTCCACCGCTCACTTGCTGCGTTGCACATTGACCCCGCCCACGGTCTATCCGCGGTCGACCGGTGTCCCACTCCGACGGTCCAACTTCCGGCAGTCGAGATGCTGTGGTTGCTTGTTGCTTCGAGCTGCTTCTTCGAGCCGATTCCTCCAGCGCCTGCTGTGGCCCCTGGCTTGCTAGCGTTCCACCCCCGAAGCTTCCACCAAACGCTGCAGTTCTTTGCTGGTGTTGGCCCGTTGACTGATACTGCTCCAGCTTCTGCCAGTGTCAAGGTGTGCGAACTGTTGCACCTGCCACGTAATCTGCACCTGCCGCGCTCCACCGAAGCACTGCTGCGCCGGCCGCGGTCCAGCGATACGACGAAGACGGAGACTCCAACGCAGTGAGGAGCTCAGTGACGAGTTCAATGACGTCCCCATTGCGCCTGCCATGAAGTCTGAGTCTGAGCCAGAAATAACGAGATAACTGTTGTAGATCCATCTAGAATCTAGATTCAAAAGCACGCCTCCCGCCTCCCACGCACGACACCTGTGCCACCAAGTACCACACCTTCGACTTCGCCAGAAGAAGTCGATCAGCGCCCGAGCTAGACAACCCCAAGAGGCGCGAGGGTTTGAAGCAATCCCGGTCCAGCTGCCAGCACCAACCCGAGCATGCGAACCGGAGAAACCTCCACGACGGGTGTATTCATCATTTGGACCGACACAACGACCCAGGCACTCCCCTGACATCCGCAGTGTGAACAGGAACCTTCATGACAAACCCCATATACGGTGCAGCAAACAAGAAATCTTTTCTCCGGCACTTCAAACAAGAACATCTCATTTTTGCATATATCATTCACCGAGGGAGTCCGCCATGGAAACCATTTTGAAAGCGCGCACATGGCCCTCGAGCTATTCATTTCTGACAGTGTGTTCACGGATGTTCATGGACCAGAGCGGAGAAAACATGAGAAACCACGCGCGAAACACAGCTTGTGACCTTGCATGGCTGATGTTTTCACAACAGCACTGTGTCAACTACGCCTAGCTCCTGGACTCTTGATTTGGTCAACTCGGCTTTGACTACTCTACTCTAAGCTGAAGCTCCTTTTGGCTAATCAGACGTCGTGTGGCATGTTGTCCTGCAATGACTCCCAGGGACCTGATCGAGAGGTTTTAAGTTGATTGCACATGATTGCTCATGCTGTGCAGGACACCGCAAGACGAGAAGAAGAAGCAGGCAGCGACCTGACCTGTGCATAGCAGATTTGACGTACATGGCTATGCAAAGTGACATCTTGATTTCACGTTTGTGCTTCCACCTGCGGAAACGTGGTTCCTTGGTGGATCACATCACAGCCGATTCCTTGTGCAGAAGGGAGGTATTCGGTATTCACATGTCCTGTCCAGGGACACCAACCACGCCATGAATTCCGAAAAACATATGTGAACAAGTTTTGGTGTGCATTGCGATGACATGCCGCGCAGATTCTTCTCCTTCAGCCGATTCTTGCCGATCTAGTAACGCATGCGAAGCTGTTTACGACAGCACTGGTGGGGTCGTTTCAGCACCTGGTTGACCGCATGCAGCTGTTGGAAGTCCTCTTCATAAGCTGTATCTTCCACGCAGAGTGGAGAGACTGCAAAGAAATTCGTCAGATGACGTTCAAATGCCTGCAATGCAGTCAGTGATTGACCATAGACCTGCTCGACTTGTTCAACCCACATCGTTTTGTTTGCATACGTCAACAGTGCTTGGATGGAACGTTATGAGAAGCATCGTTCACTCCAAAGCATCGTTCGTTCGAATCGCTCATGAAATGCTTCTCGGTGCATTGACTGACAGAAGGCGTTGGTTGCTCTTCTTGCGAGACTCTTTGATGGACACTCTGGCTGCCGGTCTCGTTCTCTCCGCAAAGACCTAAGGAAATGCAGACCCGAGTGAGTATCAAATATGTGGCCAGAAATGCGAAGGGTATATGCAAAAGCTGACGAGGCAGTGTTAGAGCGATTTGGCTTTCACCAGGCCTAGCAGGCTCGCACACGGACCACGCAGGGTCGCTTCACCGGCTTCGCAGCGCACACTGACCATGCACTTTGAACATGATCTGCATGATCTGTGGCAGGGAACGGCAAACTGGGTGCGAACGCAGACCAAGGTGCAGACCATCGCGAACCATGCCTTTCGGGGCGAAGCGCCACAGAAACGTCTTGGGCGGAACCAAAAAGAGCGGCTTTGCACCACTTGCAACTCGAACCACTTGTGAAGGATGGTGCAAGGCTTCTAACTTCTCACGGATCGTTTTCAGGATGGTGGAAGGGATCCCCCCAATTGGTGGATGGATTTATCCGCTCTTGGAACGATGCCTGCTAGCCAGCATGTAGATTTTTCTAGGACAGGGTTTGGATCCCTTGGTCAATGCATGCCCCTGCGCCAAGTGAAATCAGGTCAGTGCCGGAGAGTTGTTTGGACAAGTCTGCGTTGAAGCTTTTGGCTACATGTGTTTGAGGTCAAAGGGCCATAGAGCTTCGCCCAGAACTTTTGCGTGTTCTAAACATGATGAGCGAATCTCTCAGCCAAGAACCGGCCCAACCAGCGCCACGTCGTTCTGGCTTCAACCAATTGAATTGTTCAGCGACGCTGAGCTAACTCTCCAAGTCATGTGCAACAGCAAGCGCATGTGCTGAGCCGTCCCAGCTGCACCGTCGCGTCGCGTCTCGTTTGTGACTTGGCATAGGAGCTCCTCAACTTGAGGACCTTGAGGATGTCTGGCAAAGTTGTTTTGTGTCTGATGGGAGCTGACTCAGCTTGTCTCGCCATGTCTTTTGGGTGATGGAAATTGAGAACTTGCAAGTTTCCGCAGAACCTTCTGCGTGGGGGTGTACCACATCAACTGATATACACGCACCCCTTACCATAAGCTTTCTGGTTGATTTGGGGTTGCGTACGACCACCAACGTTGTGTGGGTGCAAGAGCCGTGCGCGGAGGCTGTGCATGCGTCTGACCAGAGCCAGCACAGCATCCTCACAACGGAGGGTGAGAGGTGGCAAGGTTTTGGTATAAGGGGCACGCTGCATAAGCAAACAAGATGCATCAAGGCAGTTTGGTATTCCTCGGATATGAGGCTGGTTCGTTCTCGTGCTGAGGCTGGTTCTCTCCATGACCGTTCAGCGAGACTGAGAGCTGTTCGTCGAGATTGTGAGCCCGTGGCAATTCAATTCAAGCATTTTGCGCACTAGATGTCGCAATGTGGCACAAGTCAAGCAAGTGAAGCTACCAGCAAACATGGACATTCTCATCATCGGGC